ATATATACTCAATATAAAATTTTTACAATACTTATACTTTAAAATACTATACAATGTTACTGTCTTTCCATAATAATTTAGAGATTCAACAGACCTATTGATCTGATAGAAGTGAATGGAGGACACCATGATCAGAGCTGTTTTTGTGGTGTCTTGGATTTTTATGAACTGATGGAAATCCGTCGTAGCGACGGAAAACTTTAATCCCTGTGGGTTTCGTGTTAAAGGACATGGAATGTAAATGCACAATTTACACAAGCAAATTTAAGAGCATGTAAAGCTGACTAAATCTCCTATGACAACTTGCAGTGTTACATATCATATCAGAACACAAGAGGTAAATGCCGTTATCGCTGTTTTCCATGTTTGTGGAGCAAATATTTTTACATAGCTTTTTAAAAATGCCGGGTAGCCGGTGTTTACTATGCATTTGGCCAATCAGCTCACTAATCAGTCACTAATATTTCTTATAGAAATACTTTTACATTAAATATTTTACATTAAATGTTCCCTCCTGGTGGAATGACAGCTGAGAAGCTGAGTCCTTAGTCATCTTCAAGAATCGGCTAAAAACATCTCTTCCATCTTTACTTGACCCTCTAACTCTAGCACTCTCTATTCTAATTCTACTCTTAAAAAAAAAACTTGCCCCTTTTAGACTTGCACTATTTATTTACTAACTGTACTATTTATTAACTGTAACTATTTATTTACTATTTATTATAAATTTACTAATTTATTTATTTATTTTCTTTAAAAAAAAAACTAACACTAGCTTCTCTATTCTTTTTGTATTATATCTATTTGTTTTCTTTTATTTATTATACAATTAACAAAAAGCCAAAAAGGCCTCAAACACTAGCTTGCTCTATTCTTTTTCCATTCCATCGGTTTTCTTTTTATTTATTTTATAATTTAAAAAAAGAAAAACCTTGCTACGTGTATTGCGTTAGGCTTACTGAGACTTGTCTTTGGTTGATTTTAAATTGCTTCCATTGTCTTCATTTGTAAGTCGCTTTGGATAATAGCATCTGCTAAATGACTAAATGTAAATGTATTGAACTGTTTTAGACCTTATTCTGAAGTAGGAGCTAATTTAGTTCCCCCAAACAGAGTTGCTAGAACTATATACGTTCCTAGTTCCTGCAGTGCTAACATGGCAAAAGCGGGTACTTCCGCCAATAGTTCTAGTGCTAAATTGATCTAATGCTTTTAGACATACTCTACATGTTGTGTGCAAAAGGTTTATGGGTAATACACACTGAAAAATTAAACGTATTTAAAAATTGGTTTCTGTCGAGTTATGCTAAGCAGCTCCACCCACACTGAAGTCTCTTCGGTCTAAACTCCTGCTCCACATTGTTGTGTGTTAAACAAAAATGTTCTGACTGGCAAAGGGTTTTTTGGTGCTTCATGAAGCATTTTAGCTTTTAGTAAGACCAGAAAAAAATTACATGACACTGAAAGCTTGTTGCTTCAATTGTCTGGTTAGGACACAGCGCAACCAACCAGATCTTTTATACCTACTAAACAGCCTCAATTGAGAATTGTTTTTAGAACAGATTCAATGCTTCCAGTTCATTAAACAACAGAAGTACCTGGTCCCTCTTCTTCATCTCTTCCACCTGCCGCAGCTGCTCGGAGGACAGAACGCTCTCAATGCGCTGCATGTCTCGCATCAGCAGCCGCTGTGACTCCAGGAACTGATCGTTGGCACGTTGCCAAGTGTGTTTCAGCTGATTGTGCTGTTGCCGCTCCAACTCCAGCAGGTGAACCACTGGAAGACAAACCACAATTCAAACTGGATGCCAATCAACTGAAATCAACTGACTACGTACAGGAAATGGGATATAAAGCCCTCTAGCCTATCACGGCTCTACAGTACGAGCATGTCACTCACATTCGCAAGTTAGAGTGAATGTGAAAAATAATTTGGTAACTCTATACAATAAGGTTCCATTTGTTAATTGTTAACTACATGAGTTAACAAACTTACAATGAAAAATATTTCTAAAGCATTTATTACTCTTAGTTAAAGTTCATTCCAACATTTCCTAATACATTATTAAAATGAAAAGTTGTATCTGTTAATGTTAGTTAATAGACCTGAGCTAACATGGACTAACAATGAACAGTTGTATTTTTATTAACTAACGTTAACAAAGATTAATAAATACTGTAACAAATGTATTGTTTACTGTTAGTTAATGCATTAAATACAGTTAACACATGGAACCTTATTGTAAAGTGTTACCAAGAATTTTGGTGCACAAGTGCGAGTGACATCTGATCATAACGTATGATGATGAAACACCATCAGCACAATCTAACGCATCTAACCTTACAGCAAATATTACATTTGAATTGAGTTTATTACCATATAAGTAAACAAAAAAAAAGCACGTAAAAGTTTGCTACTGTGTTTGGAACGTTCACACAGGATGCATTTGTGATCTTTTGTGAGCAACTGACACCATGAATGCGGAGTTTTAAAGACGGGGTCAAGTTAAAAATAGTTTAACTCTTAAAACACGACTTGAGAACTTGTGTTCTGTTTCTGAACACAAAAACACATCCTGTATGCACTTCCTTATATGACATTAAGGTATAGTGTAGTGCAAACTATAATGCTTGTCAATAACCAAATTAAAAGTCAAAAGTTTTGGATCGTTAAGATTAATGTTAAAAAAAAAGGAAAGGAAAGAAAAGAAAAGAAAAGGGAAAATGGTCATATTTAATTATTTTTAAATTACATTATAATTTAAAATAATATTAGGAATAACATTTAAAATAAAGGTCTTCTATTTGAATATATTTTGAAATTTAATTTATTCCTGAAAGCTGAATTTTCAGCAGCCATTACTTCAGTCTTCAGTGTCACATTACCCTTCAGAGATAATTCTAATTTGCTGATTTGGTGCTCAAGAAATGTTTCTTATAATTATGAATTTTGAAAATGGTTATGCTGCTTGACATGATTTAACAAATCTTTAAAGAATTCTTTAATGAAGAAAGTTCAAAAGAACAGCACTTATTTGAAATAGAAACTTTGTAACATTTTTAATGCTTTTACTCTCACTTCTTATCATCTTAATGCATCCTTGCTGAACACAAGTAGTAACTTCTTAATATTATAAAACATTACTAAACCCAAACTAACCCTAAACAATAGAAGAAAAAGAAGAAAGAAAAAAAACATTTATCCTATATCATATATATATCAACTGTATCTTATACCAGTGCCTGCTTGGACATATGCACTAATGTGCAGTTAAAAGCAAGCAAGTAAATAAATAAAATGGTAACACTTTATATTACAGTCCTGAATCTGATCCTCATGTACATAATATGTACTTATTAAAGTAATTACTATAACTAGGTAATAACTAGGTACTAAACCTAACCCTACCCCATGTAGTTACCTTATATTACTTAGGTAAGTACATGTAAGTACACGTAATGTAAAATAAAGTGCAACCAATAAAATAAATAAATAAAACTAGACCTAGCTTGTGGCAACCTGAACTGACCAACCAATCAACCAAAATAAGAACAAAAAGGAAAATTACATACAGTGTTAAAAAAAAAACCTTCCAGTGTTCTATGAAACTAAAACTTCTAGAAATGTTTGCAAATTTTTGTCACATACCTTCATGTAGTTCTTTCCGAAGTTTCTCTGCATCTTCTTGAAGGACAGATTTCTGGGTGTTGAGGACGGCAACATACATCTCCAAGTCTGTACGGCATGATTTCTCAGCCTTCAGGACGTGATTGAGCTCCTTCACCTGGGAATTAACCAAGCACATGTTCCAACTTTGTTTTCCATGATTAAAAGTAGAAGCACCCATAAACAGAGGCCTTCACACAACCTTTACACCTCAGAGTCAAACAGTTGACTTAAAATGAACATTTTGTTTCCAAATAAACTGGCAGACTCATCTACAATCTTTTGACTTTACGACTGAGATGGCTGCTGGATCATTGACTTCTACCAAGTTTTACAAGACTCAACTGATTTATGACTCATTCCTAAGGCCAAAACATTATCACAGTCATAATCATAACTAACGGCTGTAATATTGCACATATTCACCGTTCAATCACTTGGCCAGGTGTGAATTTGTCTATTCAAGAGATCATAACCACAAGAAAGGAACAAAATGAGTCACATCTAATAATATATCTGAACAAAACAGTCTGGCTCTCAGTTCCACTTTTTTATGCACGTCTAACCTTCGCTGCCTCGAGTTCCTTAACTCGATCTTCTGAGCTTGACAGTTTGGCCTTCAGCGCTGCAATCTCACTCTCCATTGGCATCACCACCGAGCGTAGCTTCTCTGCGTCCTCCTGAGCCTAGATTAATACAAACCCAAGCTCGCTAAACACACCCAGTACTAACAAGATGTAAACACTCTGGCTTTGAGTCACGATTCAGAGAAAATGGCTCTTTCATATCTTTTTCACAGTTTGAGGAAGTAAAATGCTAAAAAGTAGTCAAATCAAAAAGCGAATCTGACCTTCTTCATCTCGTTCTCCAAGTTCTCCTCCTCCTGTCCCTCAGAGAGACGGCGGCGGAGCTCAGCCACCTCTCGCTCCATCCCGTCGCGGTACTGTGTCCAATGAGCGCGCTCCTGCTCCAGCTTCTGCTGGAACTGCAACTTAACTTCCCGCTCTGCATCTGAACACACACGTCAAGATAAGGATTTATACATCAAACGGGAAGCCTCAGAAACATATTTTACATTCACGGCAGAGATCAAAAGTAGAAATCTTGCTAATCCTTCCTTGTCCAAATAGGGTTTATTTATGACGCTTACGATTTAACAAGGCTTATGATGAATCTGGACTCGAAGACGCAATGCAGATTTCTGTCTGCACTTCTGTCTCTACATATCATGTGTCCCCTGAATGTTCATTTATTAAATATATTGGATAATATAAAAATATATTCAGCGACCAACATGTGTAAAGTGCATTTAACACATTTTACTGGAGATTCAGGCACTGTATTCAGGCACATAACTAAAAACAAACTCTTATGATCACCAAGGCTGCATTTATCTGATCAAAAATACAGTTAAAAAACAGTAATATTGTGAAATATTATAAAATTTTAAAAACTTGTAATATATTTTAAATAGTGCTGGGCAACGATTACAATTTTTAAATTGATAAATCATGCAATTAATCTCGATTAATCGCATTGTTAAGCGCAAAATTCTAAAATGAATTCAAAAGTACTGTATTGCGCACTTATTTTAAAAGTACTGCTGTATGAACAAAAGTGCAATAACATTTGTTATGCAAACACTTTAAACAAATATGGTGCTTTTTTACAGCAGTATTCCTTTTACATTGTAGCGGTTAAAATATTTCTTGTAAATCTCAACTTAAACATTAATGTAATCAAATTAAAATCTCCTTTTCATATAACTCGTGTATTCTTGTGATGGTGCGTCTTGACACCGTGTCTACACCGGACGCGAGCGGCGCAGAACTACGCGACAAAATACTATAGAACCCATTATAATCAGTGATGCTGTCTACACTGGATGCGGCGCGGCACAACAAATCATACTTGCTATCATTCGTTGCGATCCTATATACCAGATGCGACAGTGGTCGCGCCACGCCACAACAGCTAAAGTCTGTAAAGACTGGATGCGTCACGCGACAAAGCGACCGTTGCAAATCATTTGAATTTTGTGTCAGTACGTCATAGATAGAACGAGGCAGCAGCTTACTGTCGGGGATTTGTCGTGTCGCGCTGCATCCAGTGTAGACAGCATCATTGATTATAATGGGTTCTATAGTATTTTGTTGCGCTGCGCCGCGCCGTTCGTGTCCGGTGTAGACACAGTGTTAGGCCCACCTCAAATGCTCTCATTGGTTGAGACGCATGATGACGCCCATCCCAAACCAGCACTGATCAACATCCCACCCCTCCTGTGACCGATGGTTTGTCTGTATGTGTATTCAGAGCCAGTGAGCAACGGACTTTCAAAATAATAATAATAATAAAAACTGCATTAATGCGCGATAAAATAATTGTCGGCGTTAATTAATTAATGCGTTAACGCGATAACGCATTAACTTGCCCAGCCCTAATTTTAAAATATAATTTATTGCTGTAATGACAAAGTTAAACTACAACTATTAAAACATTTTTGTTAATTGAAGTAAAGCTGAAATAAAATGAAATATAAATATACAACAAAAAATAAACAACAAATAGAAATACTGTCCTGGCAACTAAGTTGAGGCACTAAAATTACTAACTGGAAACAAATAAAAACTGACAAATAAACAAATGACAACATCACAAAAAAAATTATTAAAGAATTAAAATAAGAAAAAACATTCAAAATAATAATAAAAATGCTATTAGTATATAAATAATACTAAATAACACTTTAAAAAGAACAGCATTTTTGAAATAATCATCTTTGTTAAATCTTTTGTATAAAGAATAAAATAAAAGTTTTGCTGAATAAAAGTAGTTCTTTATAAAAAAATAAATAAATAAAAAAGGAAAAAAAAAAAACTGTAGAACTAGTATAGATAATATGAAAAACGGCAATAAATGGTGCCATCTAGAAAGTCTTTAAAATTTTAAGCTATTTAACCCATGGCTTCTTCTTAAAAGCAGTGGTGTGATGGCGTTGAAGGTTGCCATCTTTAATTTGTTGCTTCCAAAAAGTATTTTACTTGTTATTATTACTCAAAGCAATATTAGTTTTGTCATACAGCAGTTCAGTCACCTTCAGGATAGAGATTAATGATTTAGTTACCGTTTCAAACAGCAGAAATAGAACAATAAATAAAAAGTGGTTCTGCGTATCGGTTACCAGACACTTTAGCATGAAAATAATCAGTATCTTATTACCTTTCATAATAGCCTGCAGTGATGCCACCTCCTCCTGCCACTGCTGCTTGACCTGGTCGATGGCTTCCTGCTTTGTGCTCTCAGAGACAGTGGCCACCGCTTTGATGGTCTCCATCTCTGCTTTAGCCTCCTCCAGCTGCGTCTGCACACTGCTCAGCTCTGCCTGGGCCTTCTCCAGTACAGCAGTCTGCCTCTTCAGCTCCTCTGAGATATTTACAGGACAAGAACAAAGGTTTATGTAGAGGAACCAACAGCTTCAGTTCTGTTTCACTATTACAGCATGTCCTCACTATGACGTTTCATTAACTTTGACTAATAATTGAACTCCGATTGTACCCATATTCCTGTATTAAGTATAAACGGAGCCTAGTGTTCAGATCCCTGCTAACGCTGATAGAAAAGTTTGGAAATGTATCTGGGTTAGTGGTTTCATCCTGCCCCAGGACAGACTCACTGGGAAATAAAGATCTATGACGACTTGTTGTTCAGTCTACTGTATCTATGTGTGCATCCAGGCCCAACGTGTAATGGATGCATTACATGTCTATTGAAAGAATTTGTTTTCCCTTTTAAAACTGCATGTGACGAACTACACTTCTGCTACACCTATGTGAACTAAAGAACAAATAAATAAACAAATTAATTAATTAACAAAAACATAAATCAAAAACTAAATAATACCGTATTGACCCGAATATAAGACGATGTTTTTTTCTTGGAAATACATCTGAAAAAACGCGGTCGTCTTATATTCAGGGTCTAGACTTTGACATGTCAATAATACACCCACAACAATAGGTGGTGCCAAATACACATAAAACGAGTGTGCCATGAAATACGTAATGTAATGCGTGTTGTAAAGATCTCGAGTAAAAACAAAAGAAAAAGAAAACCTTACAGCTGCATGAGTCGTGAATGTCACGTTAGCCTGATGGGACCAAACTCCCTTTGTGATTTTAAAACGTAAGACAGTACCCAGATTTGAAGACTACAGTAAGATTTAACTTCTACTGTTAATAAGATTTTGGTAGGCTGTTTTTTTGGTATATCAAAACATTTATATTTTTTAAATGTGATTGTTGGTACATTTTACCAGTTTTTACCATACTTTCAAAACAAAAATTAAAATAGGAAAAATATGCAATATGAAAATAATTGAAGACAAAATGTGTTTTACTGAGAAAAAACAAGATTTGGTTTTTAAAAAGCCTTTTTCCAAAAGGTACATCTGGCAAAAGGGGGGTCGTCTTATAATCAGGGTCGTCTTATATTCGGGCCAATACGGTAATAAAAACACAAATGAATTAAAAAACAGTCAAGCAAGCAAAACTAAAAATAAGCAATTTTTTAAATGAACTAAAACTAAAACAAACAAAACAAATACATCTCTCTTTTTTCTGTATCTTACTGGTCCATCAGCAAATATTGTAAACCATACATTACCTTCTTTAGACAGATAGAGTTCCTTAAACTTGGCCCGCTTCTGGTTGAACTCCATCTCCAGCTGTTGTTTGAGCTTCAGGAAGTCAGTTCGATCCTGCTCCTGCTCCTGCTCCTGCTCCTGCTCCTGCTCCTGCTCCTGCTCCTGCTCCTGCTCCTGCTCGGCCGCGCACTGCTGCAGAACCCCTGCCGAAGCAATCAAACATCCATCAGTGCCACACAGTAGGGCTGCATTATATATCGTATCAGCATTGATATCGCGATGTGAGCTTCCGCGATAGTCACATCGCAGTAGATTTTTTAATGCCACATTTCAACAATTAATGCATTCTTGCTTAATGATTAATTAAAAAAAAAGAAAAATCAAACTGACCCCAAACTTTTGAGCTGTAGTGTACTTGTACTAATTTCAAGCATATAAAACTTTAGGCCAAAAAAATAAGCAAAAATAATAGCTCACATTCTCTTCCGTTCTCTTGAGTTCACATGTTGGAGTTTTATTTGGGACAGTTTTATTTGATTTGATTCTCATTCACTAATCAAACATGTCACAGCCCTCTTTTGCTATTTGGACCGTTACTAAACTACTTTGACTTCTTACTGAGGTTCAGAGGCTTTTAAAGTGTTACAAAATATCACGTCAAAGACAACAACTATTATGACCCCCACAAAACATTTTAGACCTTACAATTACATTATTTTGAAAAAATAGTAATAATCATAATAAAATAAAAATGAATATACAGAAACACATCTATGATAGAAATTACTATATGAACGATATTATGTTTTTCTCTTTATATATTCTTCAGTAGCACTGATGCTTGATTGAATCAGAGCCACAGATGATGTGAATAAAGCTTCAGCTTGATTAATAGCCATTAAGACAGCTGGCAGATTCATTTAAAGAACATCAGCCTACGGGGAAAAAAAAAACGCTTTCTTCAATGAAGATCCTTACATCATTCTAGACAAGCAGTATTTCATCAAAGTAAACAAGTACAGACTTGCCAAGTCCAAGCCAGAGCAGTCACATAGGTCAGTCAACCCCGAATATGTCATGATAGATCATACATCTCTATTGCTGGTTTTTACATTAATTAGGCCTAAATACAAGTTTTTACGCATATGCATTACAAAGTGCAGCAAAGGACGATTGTAAAGGACGACTACACCCAAAGCAACCACGGGCCTTCAGGGATGACAGATGGCTGTGTTATGAACTCAACCTACAACAAAAATGTAGCTCAACGGGACTGAAGCAGCACGTGCATAGACTTAAAACTTGAAAATAATTGTTTCCATAAAATGTCATTTGAGTCATACCTGATAATAATAAAGGAATACTTCACACACACACACAAAGAAAATTTGCTCACTATCAGGCCATCCAAAATGTAGATGAATTAGATTCTTCATTTATGACAGATTTGAAGTAATTTAGCATTACATTACTTCCTCATCAATGGATCCTCTGCAGTGAATGGGTGCCGTCAGAATGAGTCCAAACAGCTGATAAAAACATCAGGATAATCCACAAGTAATCCACATGACTCCAGTACAACAAGTAAAGTCTAGTTAGTTAGTGTTTGTCATTTTTAAAAAGCCATTAAGACATTTTAACTTCAAAACATTGCTTGTGGCTAAAATACAAGTCCTATATAATATTGATCAAACACTCTTTACAAAAGCGAAAACAGTTCAAAACAGTTGTAAACAAATATTGTGGATGGATTTTGATGTGAGGACAAGGTTGGGTGGACTTTTCCACTGACGGAAGCATTATTATGGATAATGGATTAATATGTGTGTTGTCCAGTAGCAACTGTTTAAAGTCTCAATAATGGATTTATTTCTTACAAATATGCAGCTTTTCACCTCCCAGGATGTGAATTTACGGACTGGAGTTGTTTGGATTACTTGCCGATTAAAAACATCACAAAAATTCACAAATCTCATTCTGACGGCACCCATTCACTGCAGAGGATTCAATGGTGAGCAAGTGATGCAATGCAAAATTTTTCAAAATCTGTTCAAGAAACAAACTCATCTACATTATGTGGCCAGACGCAAGGTGAACTAATTTTGGTGAACTATTCCTTTAATACATTGCCAGGGGCGTATTTACTATCTACACAAAAGACAAAGAAGATGCATGCGAATCATATCATCTGAACAACGTTACAAATAAGAACATGTAGACATAAAAAACGAACCCGTCTGTCCTGATACTCTTAAAACACTGTCAGTGTCCAGCTGTCATCTGCTGATCACACTGGGTGCAACTTCATCATGTTGACCATTTAATAAACACGCTTTAGTGTACTTGAAGACCAGCATATCCAATGCTTTGTGCAAGAAGCGTTCCGTCAGAAGCATCGACGCATATCAAGCATTAAAGCATTACATGACTGTTTTAATAAATAGGCAAATAGAAGTGTATCTGTCAGCCGGTTGACTGTTGCTTGCTAATCCGTGGACGAACAGGCCACAGGCCTTCAACGAGCACAGCTAGGTCAGCACGATAAACCTCTCCTTGTGGTGAAAAATGCTTACCGTCTTGTTGAGGCGGCTGGGTGGGTCCCGAGGCCTGCTCGGACATGGTTTCCCGGGGCTGAGTTAAGAAAAGCGGCTCTCTGAAAGAAAGCGAGGAGCGCCCAGCAGAACAGACTACTAGTAGACACTGAGCAACGTCATTGTAGAAATAACACGCACTGCGCATGCGCGCACCGAATGGGCGGAGCTGTCTTCAGTAAACCATAAATTCATGATTAACAAACAACACAGAAAGATTTGAATTTGACATTTTGTTTGCGTTATCTATATTTATTTATTTTATAAATGCAATTTTATTTATGCGGTTTGTTTTGTATATGTGTATCGTTTATTAGGCTATTCATTAGATTTTAAATTTTAATAAATGAATTAATGAATATTTCACTGAATACGCCACAAGAATAAATGCACACACAATAATAATAATAATTATTATTATTAACAAATAAAAAAAATAAAAAAGATAAGTAAATTTTCCACGGCATCGTACTACAATAAACACAACCAAAACTTACCACAATAAATAAATAAATAAACAAATAAATAAATACATAAATTCATGAATAATTCACTGAATTTACATCACCCACTATACCATAATAAACAAACAAACAATCAACCAACAAAAAATGCTGAATGCATAGAATACCCACTACTCCATATCAGAATCAGAATGAGCTTTATTGCCAGGTATGTTTTCACATACGAGGAATTTGTTTTCATGACAGAAGCTTCCGCAGTGCAACAGAATGACAGCGACAGAACAAAAACACAGATAATAAAAGAAGAATAACATTTTTTTGTAGAACTGTTTCAGCAGCTCCTGTGGCAGGTTGAACTTCCTCAGCTGGCGAAGAAAGTACAACCTCTGCTGGGCCTTCATGAGTCAATGTGAGTGTCCCACTTTAGGTCTTGAGAGATTGTGGTGCCCAGGAACCTGAATGACTCCACTGCAGTCACAGTGCTGTTCATGATGGTGAGTGGGGGGAGTGCAGGGGGGTTCCTCCTGAATTCCATAATCATCTCCACAGTTTT